CAGGGACGGTGCGCTCCTTCGCCTGCGGGGAGCCGGCGCTTCAGCCCCAGGAGTGGGGGCGACTCACGGTCAGTCCTCGGAACGTTGGGGAGAGGAGACGGCGACTCAGGCGCTCCAGCCAGCTTGGGGGTTGAGGTCGCCAGACTGTCGCCTTTCCGGTCTCGGCCCTCCTCCCCCGCCCGCTGTCTGCGGAGCCGCCGAGGCGAGAAGGGGGCGGACTGGAGTGTGTCTCCCCCCTCAGGGGTTGTCAGCCTCCACTGGGCACACGCGCACTGGGAGCCCGGAGCGCGGGCTGTGCACGGACGAGGCTGGGCACGCATGTGCGCGCTCCCGTCTCCAGCGTGTGCCCCCCCCCCCCTTTGTACAGCTGCTCGTGTGCTCCACCGCTCCGTCTGTCACCTGTCAGGCGCTCCAGTGGTTCCTTCTGGAACGGCTCTGGCGCAGCCTCCATGCCGGCTTTCCGCCCTTTCAGCCTTAGGAGAATCTTCTCCGAGGAGCTGTCGGGTGGGAGACGCTATCCCGTGACAGGCAGCAAAAGACTAACCTTCCCGTTCAGCAGAGCTCCGCGGAGAAAGCCTGAACAAGCTTCAATCTGGTCAGGTTGTCCCCAATCCATTGTACAATGGGGCATCCTGAATATCCACCGCGAGAGTGGCAGGACTCTCATCTGTCTCTTTCCTCTTCGCTGTGTAAAAAAGCCAAGCCCCAAACACCCTGGATCCAATTTCTAGGAGTAGGCACTTATCCCAGGGGGTTAGGGACATTTTGAAATGCTTTTTGTAACAACAGTTGTGGGCTGTGGTTAAGAGATGATGTTAGTCCACCTGTGACATGAGATTTGTAGAGAGGTTCCTCCCCCCCGTGAGGTTTGGACACTTTGCACTCTGTCAACGCAAGCAGAGAAACCATTTTCATAGCAACCTCTTGCAACAGATTCAGAAAAGGGTTAAAGACCCAGAGGAGGAGACGCAGCTTTAGATTGTGTTTCCATAGTGATTTATGGCTATTTAAGGGTCACAAGCATTTTTGAGGAACCAAATGGAAGTGTTTTCTGTTGATATTAGTAAGAACCGTGGAGCCTAGTCAGAGCTAATTGTGAGTCTGGCACACCAGAAACCAGCACATTACTAAGGAGACAGGTGATGTGGGGCATTCTGGGCTGGGAGGGGCTAGATCCACTTTGAGGGTCCAGTGACCTCAGCTTCCCTGATTAGGCCAGGCCCTCAAGGGTGAGAATTATGAAAAGAAAGGAGAGAAGGAATGCAGGAGAGGAAGAGGATGGAAAAAGAGCTTGTGAACAGGAATGAGAACGAAAAGAAGGTGATAGAAAGGAAATAATCATACTCAGAGTGGTGCTCTCCTTTCCCACTTCTAATGTACCTTCACAATTCTCAAAGGTTTCCATGGAGATAAATTGGATCAATTTATGGTAAGGGTAGCAGGTGACGCCTATCCCCAGAAACTAATTCTGCACCATCTCTAACACTTGCCATCTCAGAGCCTCGCCTGCTTCACCTAGGTGGTGAGGAGGTGGATCTGTGATCTCCAAGTTCTCTTTTCCAGCTTTGAAATCCTATCATTGTAACAAACAAGAAATAACAACATAGTGTTCAATATCCATAGCTCCTTGTTCTTCCAAGAAAATGGTCATTGTTTCCATTGCTCTTGGGAATACTGATATCCTTCCTGCCTTCTCTGCTTCCTCCCCAGTCCTCCTTCCCTGCCTTCTTTTCTCTTTCCTAATTATGATCTCTTTCCTGCCTCCTTGGCTGGCAAAACCAGAGGAACAAGCCAGAATAGCCTGCCTCCCTCTCCAGTGAATCAATTAACAATCAGTTACATCTATTGAACATCTATACTGGTTGTGATAGGCAGTGTGAGGTACCACAACAACCACCACCATATAAGTCACTGCCCTGTGCCTGGTATGCTGTTAGGCATTTCACAAACATCATTTAGGCCTCACAACAAGCCTTTAAGGGCTTTAGCTTCATTTTACAGATGCTGCTGTAAAGGACCAAACTGTGTAGTAAAAATCTTGACCATTTTCTGCCTTCACGTAATAATTTGTCTGAGCTTGGAAAGACAAACCATCCTCCAAGCACTGTGAAAGTAGATTCCACCTCCCTGAGGGTTGACTATCAGCACAGACTCTGACAAAGAAGAGTAAGACAAAGGACCCTCCTTGGAGAGTACTGGCCAGCACTGTGACACCCTCAGCTCCTGGCCTCACAGGCAAATATAGAGATGCCTGAGGCACCACGGGGGCTTCCAGTTTAGTTGGTCTCAAACTTTAGCAGAATTACCTGGGAATAGAGGTGATTTTTTTTT